AAAAACACTGGACAAAAGGTACGTGATGTGCCTCGTACTCAATTAAAAATATCCATAATAACAGAAAGAAGTTTGACAAAATATATCTTATGTAATAAGTAAATTTTTCTTAACATAATATATTGCGTTTCTTCTATTATGTTAGAGTTGAAAGAGTTAATTTACATTTATATTTTAAATTTTTTATTTTATTCAAATGCGCCTATAGCGTGTGGAAATTTTGAAAGGGATGAAAACAAGGCCTAAAATGCTTTTAGTGAAACGAATCGGAGCGTGTGTCTGCATATCACCGAACGATCAAAAATTTTTACTTCCAATTTACTTTTTTCTATCGTCACGTAAAATTTATGCACTGTGGTGCAGAATTAAAAATCAAAGAGTTAAATCCTCTAATGGACACAGGTAAGTGCATTTAAGTATTTCTAAGTACTGATACATACTCCATCTTTATATCCTTTATTTTATTGTTTGATATTTTCTTTTGGCTAGTAATAAAATTATCCAAGGTGTTACCTGTATATAAGTATAAAAGACAAATTGTGACCCACCCGAGCAAAATAGGTCACTTATATATAACAAAAATATTCAACAGATGAACTGAGCATCCATTACAAGTTCGTTTATAAATGGATTTCATTTATTTATTACTAAATTCATCCAATTCGAAATCAGGTGTAACACCATTATTATATTACTCATTTCTCTATTTGTGTTAACAGTTTCTATATACATTGCGGTTTGAACATCCCACAGATTGGATTTGAACAGTATCCGGTTGACTAGGAGTTGGTCCGTAGGCCAATTATGATTATTGCGCGGCGGCTTGCCTCAACGGTTATTATACTATTTGCGACCAAAATTACTAATAACTTACTTATTCCAGAGAAAGATAAGTGACTAATACATATTAATACTAAAAATATAAAGTATCGAATCAAATCTGTCAACTGCACTTAATACTTACACTATATATTTAATAATCTAGTACCTGGGCGATCGAGCTTCGCTCGGAGTTTTTGTCAAATGTACAATTTTCTTTTTAATTTAGCTTAAAAACAAAAAAAAACTTGAATAAATACAAAAAAAAACTTTGTATCCGACCGAAATTCAAGCCGCATGAAAACTCGAAAAACACTCGTTTTCCCAGACATAAGACTAACTAATCTAGATCGATTTTTCGCCCCCGAAAACTCCCACATACCAAATTTTCGTTTCGTTTCCGAGATCGCCGGTACAAATAAATAAATATACAATAATTGCTCGTTTAAAAGTATTAGATATGCATATGTGTAATAAAATTTTAACTGAGTCGAATCTGTACATTAAATATTTTTTGGAAAATTTTATTGAAAGTACTCATTATTATAGATACAGAGGCTGAATCTATAGTTTTTAGAATTTTTGTCTGTCTGTTTGTCTGTGACCGCATCAGGGAAAAACCACTGGAACGGTTTTGATGAAATTTAGTATGATTTAACTTAAAGATGGAAATATCAATTCCATTTTCTTGTTAGGCTTTAAAACGTGTCAATTAAGCACAAGTTACTATACTAAATGCCAATGTTACGTAGAATGAAGAAATATTGGATAAAATTTTTGCTTTATCGAAATTATTTTTTCAATGTCATATCCCAACGTTTGATGTAAACTTTACGGGTTATGACAAAGTAGGAAAAAGATTTTGCATTTGACGTTGTTTGTGCGTTCGACATCACATCAAATGCGATACAAAGCTTAATAAAACTACCATTTCATAAAGCGTAGCGTATACACTATATACGTATAAGTAATTGCATCAGGGTATCCGTTTTGAGTTTAACTAAAATAAATTTTTCAACTTATATAATAAAAAAGGATCATATCACGACGTAGTGTGACGTTACAACTATACGTGTAATTTACGATATATTACCGACGAAATATTTGTTTGATCGTATATGTACTTGTCATGTTGACGATGTGTTCCAGCATGTTACAGATAATAAGTTATGCAAGATATCAAAGCATCATGTCACAACAATTAATATATTATATTTATATGAACACTAGCATTGCCCGCGGCTCCGCCCGCGTTCAGATGACCAAAAAAAAATTTCTTAATTTTTACATATTAGTATACTCTTACATTGCAGTTTTTGTATTTTTTCTCAGAAATGAGATATTTTCTCGCAATAAAGAGTATCCTATATGTTAACCCGGATAACCAGCTATCATCATACCAAATTTCATTAAAATCCGTTCAGTGGTTTTTCCGTGATGCGGTAACAGACACACATAAATTCTAAAAACTATAGATTCGGCCTCTGTATCGATAATAATGTCTATTTCAATAAGATTTTTAAAAAAATATTTCATGTACAGATTCGGCTCAGTTAGAATTTTATTATATGTATAGATTGTATCACTATTTATGTTACGTCGTTAATTCATATGTACTAGTATAGTAATAGTCTTAAATTAGTGTAATTATTTGAAAATTTATTATAGCTTCCATCAGAACATTTCAGAGGAAATTAAATCAACCAAAAGTCATATTTTTATGTAGAATTTTAGTCTCTGGGTCTTATTAGTGCGTATATCGTACGAGTATATTAGACTATTTGAATGAAACTTTTTTGTTTGTTTTTCATTTTATTTTAAAGTGTAAGTTTATGACGGCTAAAATTCTAAAATTCCCTGTAGCATGCAAAATTATAAAAACAGCATATGCTGTGTCGTGTCTAGTAAGACTTTCTAGAAGAGAGAGACGCATGAATATTCACTCAAAAAACTCAGATACGAAGAAAGACTTTACATGACCTCTTCTATCGTTTAAGTGTCTTTAAAAACTGGAGGTGAACTAAATATTAGTATAATTAACAAGACAATTGTAAAATAAAATTTCCTACCTCGAAATTCGAATATTGTGACCGGAGTGCACTAATTTAACGCCTACATACAACGTTCTTTAGTTGCTATAAAAGCAACAAAATCAACTTTTCATCGAGCTCTCTAAGTAACTAATGTATAACTACTATATAAATGCGAAAGTTTGGATGAATGTTTGTTACTCAATCACGCTAGAACATCTGGATTTAATCTGACACAGTGATGATGATGATGATGTTCTCCTAGCCGATTTCGGCTACGGCGGCCAAGCTCATTACGATTAGCCAACAGCGCAGGAGATATTATAGTGCTCAAGTGTACGCGCAGACACAAGTGCACTATTCCTATCACTCTCATACTCCGGTGGGACGACCACTCGACACGACCGGTGAGAGTTAAGGCGCAGGACCTACGGCTTTACGTGCTCTCCAAGGCACGGGGGTGAAACACCGCCAACTTCCCAACTCCGGGCTGTTACTGAGACTTACTATACAGAAAGACTCAATAACTAAACTTGGCCCGACCCGGGACTCGAACCCAGGACTCGAACCCAGGACCTCCAGGTGTGCAGCCGTACATGCTAGCCACTACACCACCGAGGCACTGACACAGTAATAGATTATACATAGTGTGGAATACCACATAAGCTATTCCAGACTAAACACCCGGAAAAAGGTACGGTTCCCGTGAGATACATTTGTTTTTTTTTCACTGTGGACGAACCCGAGAGAAACGATGCAATGGTCAGCCGCTAGTCACTCGTGTTTGTATTGTCTAAACAATAAGTTTATGGTACTCTAAGTAATAAGCTACATTGAAAACCTCAACGCAAATTCGTACAAAGATTTCGCACTCTTTCTGCGACTTATATTTTATAAAGTTACTGTTTAATTTAATATATAGTTATAAAAAGTTTATGCTAATTTAGTATTGAGTTTACACTGGCTGGCAATAGCTCTTTAATTTGTTGTAATGACACTTCAGTTAGAGAAAAGAAATAAAATGAGTTTGACAACATTCAACATACATTGTGGTATTTTATTTTAGTTAAAAAGTAATTAAGTTAACAGTACGTGCAAAATACATCTGGTGCCGAAACCCGGGATATAGTGTGGAAAACAATATTAAAAATTAAGTGAACAAATATAAAAAAACGAACATTTTAGAACTTTGATTTAAAAGTATTTGGTTCATATATAATTGACGTTTATTGTTGCATCTTCTCTAAGATATAATTCATTGTTTGCGTTTGACTTTACAAACAATAGTAATTTGTGAAAATGGAAGGATTATTAAACAAACAAAACGCTATAGCTGAGCTAATTATTAAAAACTTTACTAATTACAAAAAATCACCCAAAGAAAGATTGACGAAAGCATACATAGAAGTTAGAACAGAGAATTTAGAAAAATCTTGGAACGAGTTTACGGATAATCATTTTCAATTAGTGGCTTTGGTAAAGTGGTCTGAGCGGACGATGCTAAAATATTTTAGCGAAGAGATGTATGATAGTACAGAAGAAGAATATATCACATACAAAACTAAGCTAAAAGAAGATTTAGAAAGCCAAACCAAGCCCGTCCTTGAATACAATATACCCTCAGCTACACCGGTATCATCTGCAACGGAAATCAAGCTCCCTAGAATTCAACTGCCTACATTCTCAGGTATCTATGAGGAATGGCAAACATTCTACGATATGTTTATATCTCTTATCCATGAGAATCAGACACTAAGTGCAGTTCAGAAGCTTCATTACCTAAAGAGGATGCATAGGATAAAGAGGATACAATCTACTATTGGAAATAACTATGATGAGGCCTGGAACAAATTGATAAAAAGATACAATAATAAACGTTATAATGCAAATGAGATTCTGAAAGGCTTGTTTTCTCAAAAGAGTATTAACACAGAGTCTGCTTCAGCGATTAAACAAACACTCGATACAACAACTTCATGTATTAAATCACTAAAGAATTTAGGCATTAACACAGACTCTTGGGATGTACTTATCAATTATTTAGTGGTATCCAAACTTGACTACGAGTCCCGAAAACAGTGGGAGATTGAGGTTTGTCATTTTGAATTTGAAGATTTGCCTACATGGGAACAGTTAGTTAAGTTCTTAGAGATGAGATTCCGGACATTAGAAATGATGGATGGAGTAAAAACCACTACAAAATCTGCTCAAAATAGTACAACTAAACAAGTATCTAAACAAAAGTCATTTCATTCAAGCGTTTTAGAGGAGAAAAAGGAAAATAATAAATTAGTATGCGCGTACTGTTCGAGTCAACATCTTTTGTACCAATGCAAACAGTTTGGTAGCAAGTCCCCCGAAGAGAGAAGTGAGTTTGTGCAATCCAAGGGACATTGCTTTAATTGTTTGTCTCCCAACCACAATGTAAGAGGCTACCACCAGGCTACGTGTTGTCGCCGTTGTGGCAGAAGACACCACACATTACTCCACTTTGAGAGAGGTCTACGTCCAGAAGCAACCGCTTCGTCTAAGGGTCCTGAGAAATTGCTGAGTCAAGAGTCGAGTAAGGAGAAAAACATAATAGCTCATTTTGCCCAAGAGGAGAATCAATCAGAGGTGTTACTGGCTACTGCGTTGGTCAGAGCCAAATCAGCAAATGGCTATTCTCAAATCGTGCGTGTATTAATAGATCAGGGCTCTGAAGCGTCATTTATTAGTGAGAGTACTGTACAATCTTTAGGTCTTAAGAAAATACCTGTTAATGGATTAGTTTCTGGAGTAGGTGACGGTCAGTCTAGAACCAAGAGTATGGTTGTTTTTGATTTAGAATCACTTCATGATTCAGAGTTTTCTATTAGAGTCAATGCCTTTGTTTTAAGTTCACTAACATCTTTTCTTCCTTCTAGTAAGACATCTATCATGAATTGGCCCGAGGTTGAAAATTTACCGCTCGCGGATCCAAAATATGGACAACCCAGCAAAATAGATGTAATCGTAGGTGTAGAAGTTCACAGCGAGATTATGCTCAACGGATTGCTGAGACATCCGTCGGAAATTGGTCCCATTGCGCAAACCACCAATTGCACCAAACTAGGATGGATCTTGTCCGGACATGTGACACCACAGGAGCTAGCCAATACCAGAATGATAAATCTACACATTCAAGTAAAGGAAGACCTACTTCTGAAACAATTCTGGGAAATAGAGAGAGAGCCAGACATGTTAGGGAAACCATTAACAAAGGAAGAGATTAAATGTGAGGAAATTTATGAGGAGACTACAGTGAGAAATGATGAAGGTCGTTACGTGGTAAGGCTGCCATTTAAGAAAATAGATCCTGAAGTTAGATATGGGAAATCAAAAGTAATAGCGTACCGAAGATATCAACTGCTAGAAAGGAGATTAAAGAGAAACCCATCACTAGAAATGGAATACAGAAACGTATTAGAAGACTACGTTGAGCAAAATCACATGAAGAAGATAGAAAATAAAGAAGACATTGAGAACCCACTTGCAGTTTATCTTCCTCACCACGCCGTAGTGAGAGAAGATAAAGAAACCACGAAGGTGAGAGTAGTTTTTGACGCATCGTGTAAGGGAGTTAATAATGTTTCATTAAACGACTCATTTTTATTAGGGCCGAAATTACAACAGGATTTACGCCACATTCTAATGAGGTGGAGACTACATCAGTACTGTATCGTAGCGGATCTTAAGCAAATGTATCGTCAAGTCCTAGTAAATGAGCAGGATACAAACTTTCAGAGAATCTTATGGCGCCGGAATCCTGAAGGACCTATTGAACATTTCCGATTATTGCGTCTTACTTTTGGAACTTCGTGTGCACCATATCTGGCAGTGAAATCCTTACAACAAGTAGCAAAAGATGAACATGAGAAGTACCCAAAAGCTGCAAGAATTACGCGGGAAGACTATTATATGGACGATTTATTAACGGGATGCCAAACAGAGACAGACGCTATTGAAATATACGAGCAAATGTCGAAGTTGATGGAGGCTGGTGGGTTTCAACTCCAGAAATGGTGCAGTAATAGTCCTAAACTACTAGATCACATTGAAAGAGACAAGCAGAGAACCGACCATTCATTTATTTTTAAGGCTAGCAATATGATTAAGGTACTGGGAATAAGCTGGAATAAAATATCTGATAACTTCGAATACTCCTACAACTTACCAGAGCAAAAGGAGCCAATTACAAAACGTAAGGTGTTGTCAGATATAGCCCGGCTCTATGATCCTTTAGGTTGGATCGCACCTACTATTATAATCGCCAAAATATTTATCCAAAGATTGTGGCAGTCTGGCTTGGCATGGGATGATGAGCTTACTCCAGTCTTGCTGAATGAATGGCATGAATTCAGATCTTCATTAAATGAGGTTAATAAGATTAGCATTCCAAGGTGGTTGCAGACGACAAATAATGACTGGAGGGAGCTGCACGTTTTTGCCGATGCGTCTCAGAGAGCTTACGCAGCAGTCGTGTACATGAAATGCAAAGGAACTGAGGATACTTATGTAAGACTGTTGACTGCCAAAACTAAGGTGGCGCCAATCGAAAAGGAAATCTCAATCCCTCGAATGGAGCTTTGTGCGGCAGTGCTGGCAACCAAATTGATTCATGAGGTTTCACAAATTATGAGGGTTCCGAAGACAAACTTATACGCATGGTCAGATTCAACTGTGGTCCTTGCTTGGTTAGGAGGAGAACCAAGTCGATGGGCAACATTCGTAAGCAACAGAGTGTCCGAGATACTGACTGTATTAGATCGTGATCAATGGAACCATGTAAAAACGGATCAGAATCCCGCAGACTGTGCCTCGAGAGGTATGTCTATCGCTGAGCTTGCCGTTCACAATTTGTGGTGGGATGGTCCAGATTTTCTACGTCATCAAAATGAGTACAAGGTTGACCAAGGTTACGAGACAAACGAAGAAGAGAGACCCAAGAAAACTTTACCTGCTGTAGTTCAAATTAAAGAAGAATTTATATGGGAAAGATTTTCTAGTCTATCTAAGTTATTAAGAGTTTTGTCATATTGTAGAAAATTTTTAAAACTTAAAATACCAAAAGGAGAAAGACTTATGTATAAAATAGTATCAACAGAAGAGAGTAAAATAGTTTTACAAATTTGTATTAAAAAGACACAAGAGTTATACTTTCAAGAGGAATTAAAGCAGCTAAAGTCTCATGGAGAAGTACTCAAAAGAAGTGTTCTTCATACTCTATGTCCATTTCTGGATGAAAATGGTACTTTGAGAGTAGGTGGCCGAATAAGTCAAGGTCAAGAAGATTTTGCCAAGAAGCATCCAGTGATTTTACCTAGTGATAGTCATATCACTAAGCTAATAATCCTTGACGCCCATATCAAAACCCTTCATGGCGGACCTCAACTTATGTTGAACTTCTTGAGAGCGAAGTTTTGGATTATTCGTGCCAGAGAACGTGTTAAGAAGTGTTACAGAGAGTGCAATACCTGCACAAGGTATGCTCGTCAAAATAACCAACAGCTTATGGGCCAGCTTCCTGAATGCAGACTGGTTCCCGACAAACCCTTTCGTAAAACAGGTGTAGATTTTACCGGCCATGTCAATCTGCGATTTTCCCCTGGCCGAGGTGCGAAATCATACAAAGGGTACATCTGTGTGTATATTTGCATGGTAACGCGAGCCATACACCTAGAAGCTGTGTCCGATTTAACCGCGTCTGGATTTACTGCTGCGTTCCGGAGATTCGTAGCCCGAAGAGGATATTGTGAGCACTTATATTCTGACAACGGTACAAACTTCATAGGGGCTGAGAAGGAATTGAGAGAGATGTTAACCCGTGCTAAGTCGCAGCTATCCAACGAAATTGTCCAATTGCTAGCAAATGAAGGTACGACGTGGCACTTCATACCACCCCATGCTCCGAACTTTGGAGGTTTATGGGAAGCAGCTGTTCGTTCAACTAAGGCACACCTAAAACGAGTAGTCGGTGACGCCACACTTACTTTCGAAGAGCTCTCAACAGTACTGGCTCAGATAGAAGCGTGTCTAAATTCTCGTCCTATATCATTTCTAAGTGACAATCCAAACGACCTACTGCCGCTCACTCCAGGTCATTTTTTAGTGGGTGAGCCGTTAGTTATTGTTCCAGACGAGAACTATTCTGAGACCTCAATTTCAAGCCTTCATCGATGGAAACTTACTCAGAAAATGCTTAATGATTTTTGGCGTAGGTGGTCAGATGAATATTTGGTGAACTTAAATCAAAGGTTTAAATGGACAACCAAAAGGCTAGAATCTGAAATTAATGATGTAGTTATTGTTAGGGATCACAACATTCCACCTGCAAGGTGGTTATTAGGTAGGGTTATAGAAAAGCATCCAGGAAAGGATGGTCTAACTAGGGTTGTTACTATCAAAACAAAAAATGGTATTGTTAAGCGCTCCTGTAATAAACTATGTGTACTACCTAAACCTGAAAATTAATTTATGTGCTAATTGTAATAAACTTAATATTTTTTTTAATCAAAAAGATATATAACTTAGCTTTCTTGTGCTGTGATTGTGATGTTCTCTTTGTTTAAAATGTGTTATATTTTTTCTAGAGGCTACAAATTGTACAGCTTTTGCCAGTTTGAATGTGTTAATATTATTAATAGGTGTTTTTAATATAATGTACTTTTGAACTGCATCCATGCACTATCATATTACTTTAAAATGAGCATTCACGGTGGGCGGAGTTGTTTTGATAAAGTCTATATTTTGTTTGTGTCGAGAAGCTTTTGTTGTTTTAATCTTTACCATTGTAGAAAAAAGAACGAAGTTCTTTGGTGGGCGGGATGTTTAATTTAATATATAGTTATAAAAAGTTTATGCTAATTTAGTATTGAGTTTACACTGGCTGGCAATAGCTCTTTAATTTGTTGTAATGACACTTCAGTTAGAGAAAAGAAATAAAATGAGTTTGACAACATTCAACATACATTGTGGTATTTTATTTTAGTTAAAAAGTAATTAAGTTAACAGTACGTGCAAAATACAGTTACGTTTTTATTTTATTATTGCAATATTTCTAATTTAATGAGAATATAGGTATTTCCTGAAATTTCATCAAAGCTGTAATCTATATATTGAAAACAAATTTCATGGAATCGTGTTGAACGTAAATAAAGCTTAAAATAAAATCAATATCGCATGCAGCTAGGACCCGGGAACAGTTCGGAGAAATAGCTCGGAGGACATAATACTACTCACATTTCATGCAGGGGATGTACGTAATTATTATTATTCTGCGAGCTTCATACGTCTGTTCAAATTAACGCAAAATATTATATATTTCAATATGAATATTGTACATATGGGAGTGGCTTTGTAATAATATGTAAGCATATTTAAGTACTGGTGATTTTAGAAGTGGATGTAAACAGCAAAATTAGGGCAAATTGGACTAGATTTAGGGTTAATAAATATTCATAAAAATTTCATGAAATAAGAAGAATTCACCATGAAGAAAATTATAACAGATAAAACAATATTTATTATCATTGAAAGAAAAATGTACATAAAGGGTGATTAGTATAGGTATGCTTTTACGCTACTTTCCTGGGCTAGTTAGGTAGGTAATAGGGTAGAGTGCCAAGCCCAGATATTGTTATTGCTTCATCTTGGCCTAATTATAGTAGGGGAGCCCAAGAGGGGATTTTCTGTAGTTACTCGAGCGCGGCAGATGAACATAAAAGAGGTTACCTTGCACTCTATTGAGTACTTTCACCATAATATAAGTCTTCTATATAAAGGGGCGCGTCTAGGGAAGCCGATTAAAATATTTAAAAAATGTTTTGATAAGGTAGAAATACTTGAAACCGTCAGATTAAGGTATTTTTACCTTATCAAAACATTTTTTAAATATTTTAATCGGCTTCCCTAGACGCGCCCCTTTATATAGAAGACTTATATTGTGGTGAAAGTACTCAATAGAGTGCAAGGTAACCTCTTTTATGTTAATCTGCCGCGCTCGAGTAACTACAGAAAATCCCCTCTTGGGCTCCCCTACTATTATCTATTTTGTTTGATCCATAGTCATTATCGCTTCTCAGACTTTTTTATCATTATGGATACCTACGTATTAAGCTCCCAATTCCCATACACTTAAGTTAAAATAGAATATCTATATCTTAATTTTTATACCTTTTTTAATTTTTTCAAATTAGAAAAGAATGTGTGTATATTAATTTAATAACACTTACTACCATACCATAATCTGGTCATAGACCACCACGCTGGCATAGCGCGGACTTGCGGACTTCACATGCCTTTCGAAAACTTATTAGGTTTTCTTAGACATACAGGTTTTCTCACGATGTTTCTTTCACCGTTAGATAAGTGGTATTCATGTTGAAAATTATTCGCACATTAAATACCAGAAGTGCAAGCCACGGGATTTGAACCCGCTTCACTTGGTTTCCCAAGTAATTTATCACTAGGCTACCAATGTCTGTTGAAGAAGTTATAAAGAAAAAAGTAGCACTTTGAATCAGAAAATTGTTTTGGCACTACAGTGCTTATACACTTCCAAATAAAGTTAAGTACTAGCGACTCACCCTCGCTTCGCTCGGGTTTGAAAAGCACAAACAGTTCTATCCCACGGGAACCGTTCATTTTTCCGGGATAAAAAGTAACCTGTTGTTTGACCGGTAATATACAGTATCAGAATGTCAAACTTTACTAAATTAGGTGCATAAGTTGTTGTGTACTAAGCTGTATAAGTTACTATAGTTTTTTAACTATTCCACGGGAACTCTTTAATTTTCCGGGACGAAAAGTATCTAATATATTGACCGGAGATATAAGGTACCACCATGCAAAATTTCATTTAAATCGGTCCTACAGTTTCGGAGATTAGCCCGTGCAAACAGACAAACAGACAGAGAAACATCAAAAATTGAAAGAAATCTGGATATGTTCTATTTCTCTTCTTACATTCCCCTGAATCGGTTTTTAGCATTTTTATATGTACAGATATTCGACCTCTACAGTTTTATTATATGTATAGACTATATATATGTATAGTTTTACAATAATGTATGGAAGTCTGCTCATTTTGTTGACATTTATGATTACTACTCCGCCACCTTGGGTAGTAGCATGATCACCTTCCTCAATAAACGGGCTACCTAATGCAAAAATATTTTTTCAAATCGGATGAGTAGTTCCTTAGATTAGCGCGTTCAAACAAACAAACTTTTTATAATATTAGTATAGATAGGCATAAATAAGACTTATGTATAGTTTCGTTGGATTATCGACATTGAGAGATAGAGAGGCGCCCGCTCTAATAGACGAGAACTCTATGTTAGTATGTAAGTATATTCTTTTCATCGAACTATTTATTTGACTTTTACAAAGCTCTTTATGTTGAGATATATGTATGAAAATTGAAAAACTAAAATAAAATATAAAGATTTTCCCTTATTATGAGCTGGTAAAATCCAGGCAATAGTTACGTGTTCACAAAGTAATTACTTTTGTGAAAAAAGAGTTTTTCTAGCTTTAAAGCTGCAGTAAAAATAAATTAGTTATTTACTTACACTCTTGTAGTACTGAACCAAACATCAAACATTGTAGCGCAAACTCACGTTGCAACTTTATGAATGTTGACAAAAATAAATAGTGTCCTGCTATATTGCAATTATTCTGCATACTAAAGTTTGTTTTTTACGTTCGACTTGTCAAAGGGTTATTCATATAGAGTGTAATATTTCAATCTGTTTTTTGCCACGGCTTGAAACTTTGTTTTAAATAGTATTTACTATCATTTTTGCCAAAGGATGGTAAATATTGTATTTTCGTTTATGAGGTAAATACATACATATGTACAATGTACATATATTTAGGATTAAAAATGCAAAAAGGGGAAATGATAAATAGTATACTACACAGAGTCAGTAATCCTTTTTATGGACAATGTATACGCTTGTACAACAGGATCCCAGAAAATGTTCAAAAGGCTTCTATCGCTAAATTCAAAAAAAGTGTTAAAGAACGTTTGTGTGCTAAAGGCATACAATAAATGATTTTATAGAAGATGGCACGCCTTTGGGATGAAATGATCGCCTCAAGGCTACTTCAACTTGATAGAAATATTGTAAATTAGAATTTTACTTTTAAAAAAAACGAGTTAATATTAGTCCTGCTGAGTTTCTTTCGCCAGTTCTTTTCAGATCTGAGGCTTCTTCTCTCCGAACTGGTAGTAGACTCATGACGTTCAGTAAAAAATTGTAATAATTTAATGCTGAATAAAATATTTTGAATTTGGATTTTTGAAGTTATATTATTGTAGAGGTACCTAATACGCAATATATTTATAGTAAAGTTCCCTTGACACAGTTTTAGTTTGATAGATATGTACATCTGACGCTTGCGGTTACATTCTTTGCTAGCTTTGGTAAGCGATAAAATTTTTATATTTTGACGTTATAGGTGCGATGAAGATAAAAATGTTGAAAAATTCATATATTCGGACCAAGCGTGTTTTATATATTAATATAAAATATAATATTGTTTCACTTATTAAAAACAAACTTTAACGAGTCCAAGCTCGAGAGGCTTGTTAGAAGCCATTGTAAAATTTCAAGTTCCAGATCAAGCTCTACCTTCCAGTTTCAACATCAGATCAAATATTATATACCTTACTCCTCAAAATAAACCAAATGAACTTAAACTTTTCAGTGGTTATTGTTGAAAATTTCAACTATCCTGTCGGCTCTTTTCGCTGATGCAGAGCATGGAGCAGATCAGCTCGATGATGGCGAATTATTATATTATCAGGCTAAAATCGGGTTCCTACATTTGCTTAACAACATTTAGTCATAAAAAAGTGTTAAAAAGTGCATTAATAATAAAAACATCCCTGTTGTAACTTCCTTTTATCAAGCAGGACTAGTTTATGACATTGATTAATAATTTCTAGGGCCTTGTAGCATTTCTTTTGTGTCACGAAATCGATTTTTATAAGAAACTAGAAACTTTCTTATAACGAAACTTCTTTATAACGAACCTCGGCTTCGCTCGCGCTAAAACTACAAAAAAAACTCGAAAAGTTAGGTTCCATACAAACTTTCATCCCCTATTTTACCCCCCTTATTATGGGATGAATTTCGAAAAATGCTAAAATAATTTTTATTTAATTGTATTGAAGAGCATTAATACCAAGTTTGAAGTAATTCTGATCATAAATAATTTTCTGAGTTGTATTTAACGTGTTTTCCCGTGGGAGTGAGATAATCTCCCGTGGTAAAAAATAACCTATGTTACTCTTAAGCTTTCCAACTATCTCCACACAAAAAGTCACGCCAATCCATCACTCTGTTTTGACGTGAAAGAAGGACAGACAAACAAACAAACAAACACACTTTCACATTTATATTATTAGTAGTAGTTAAAGCAAGGACTCGAAGATCACGTACAAAACTAATACTAAGCTCTAAAAAATGATATGTCTCTCCCTCATATTTCAAATCGTAGGATTAAGTTATTTAAGACTAGCATTGCCCGCGGCTCCGCCCACGTTCAGATGACCAAAAACCAAATTCTTACGTTTTACATATTAGTCTAGTCTTATATTGCAGTTTTTGTATTTTTTTTAGAAATGAGATATTTTCCCGCGGTAAAAAGTATCCTATATGTTGACCTGGATAACCAGCTATCATCATACCAAATTTCATCAAAATCCCTCCAGTAAAACTACTTCCGTGATGCGGAACAGACAGACAGACAGATAAACAAAAATTCTAAAAACTATAGATTCGGTCTCTGAATAAATAATAATGTCTATTTCAATAAGATTTTCCAAAAAATATTTTATGTATAGATTTGGCTTAACTACAATTTTATTATATGTATAGATAGTACTTTTCAAGTCCATTTAAAGAGTATGATTCTTTATTTTATGAATAGGCTATAACATTATTTCAAAAGATTTTTCAGCAGTGGTAAAAAATTTAATTTAGAAATGAGATGGCATTCTTTTTCAACTATAAAACGTGAATTATAACAATAGTCTATATATATATATATATATATATATATATATATATACATATATATATATATATATATATATATATATATATATATATAGTGAATTATAACAATATACAAATAGTTATTTGTCTATAAATAGTAACGTAATTTTTTTTATTCATGGATAGGTAGTATGTAATCGTTAGTGAGAATACTCTTA